TTATGTTTTTAGGTGTGTGAATTTGGATGATAAGGCTACTCATTTTCAATTAAAATAAATTGTACAGATCCATAATTTTACTCCTTGAACCAAACTGAAATGGATTTTATACCTTACATTAGACCTTTTTTTTATCCTCAAAAGGTGTTTGGAGGTGTAACCCAACAATGTACATTCTACTTTTCAATTCATAAGTACCATGACTTGCATAAGTCTCTAACTTTATTCACGAATCGAGAAGTGGTTTTGTATTTGATTTTAACCCCAAACAAAAGTCCAATTCACGATGTTCAACATGTTACATAAGACCGAAAATGCATTTTATTAAGAGAAAAAAACTCCACTTTTAAAATTCAAAGTTTTTCAAAATTTGAAGTACATAAAAATTTATCAACTACATTAAAATTTATAAACTACATAACCGACGTGTTATTAGACGTCCAAAACAAAATTAACATGTTATTAGACCTTTTAGGGAATATTTGGGGGGTTAAATTTTATATCGAGTTGAAAGGTTTTTCACTTTTTATTTCTAATTTATTTTGAACTTTTAATTTTTCTTAACAAGCCTAATGAACAGGCTTCAGGCCAGGTAAGACTTTTAACATGTCAGGCTCAGCCGCTCAGGCCGAAAAAACACAGACCATTAATGGTAACATGACAGGCTCAAGCCTATACATTGTATAACAGGTCCGACCTGTTTAGGCGAAAGTCTGTCAGACCTGTATCCACCCTTACCTAATGGGTACTAAAACATACTACATCCTACTCCTTTAAAACTTGACCAAAATTGACCGACACAAGGAATAATAAAGTAAAAATTGCATGGTTACATTTTGTACAGAAGAAATAGAATTAAAGGAATCTCATATTTTTTAATTAAAAGAAAAATTTATTTAATTTAAAGGGGAAATGCAAAGTAGTTAAATTACCAAAAAATGGAAAGGTATTGGCCCAAAGGGTTTGATCCAATCCAATTAGAAAATCACATGCCCAAGATACTTCCGCTTGTGGTTATACCGGTTCGGCACCAATTCATCCGATCTACCATCTCTTCCGACTACGGTCGTACGCTAATTTGCTCTCTCCGATTCCAGCTCCTCTTCCCCTTAGGCCGGACGCAGCCTACGCCACGCCGTTCGTCTAATAACCAGAGGTTAGTCGTTTATTACTGTCTTCTTATTTGATCGCATATTGTTTCGTTCGTTCGTACATATCTTTTTTTTTTTTTATCTTATCAGCAGTGAATAGATCAAGCTTAGAGGTGTTTTTGAAGTTCGTTATTTATCTGTTCCTTCAGTTAAACGATGAATAATTTTCGAAATTAAGGAGTTCAAATAAGCTGTAATTTAATGACCAACACTCGCCTGCAGTGTTGCCTTCAGGGAACTTTGGAGGCCCTAGAAGAAAAAGACTTAATATTCACAAATCATATGAATTTGATTTCTATTACAAAATAGTAAAAGATATATCCAATTTTATCGCGATCGCCTTTTAAACTCAAATCACTAACAATTAAATTGTCTTTATGATCATCTATAGCCCCATTCTCATCCCTAATTTGTGCTTTCTCATTTTCATCAGTTCTCATTCTCATGAACATCTATATATATTGACATGGTCAACAATATTTGAGGAAGAGTGGTCTGTCCTTACACACTGACCCAAATATTTTTTTTCCTTTTTAATCAGACAATTTTATAAGCATATCTCTTCTGAACTTATAATTTCAGGTTGAAAGTCCAAAGTTGTATTCTTTTACCACGTATTTGCCTATCACTACAATACACACACATATATATAGGGAAATTTACCAACAGCATATGACCAAAACATGGGAAGATTTCCAATATAGTCAGTAATGTGAAAATCTTAAAACTATGAGTTGTTATGGGACAAGAAAAGGAAAAAAACGGAACATACCATTTACTACTATGCATGAGATGTGGCATTATAATAGGAAATATAACTGCCTAGTCATATAATGGGAAAGATCAATTCTTTCGATCATCCGCACAGTAAATTTCTCATATATATATACCCCCTCCGTTTCACAATCAAACTCACAGTTTGACTTTTGCGGTCTCCTAGGTGGACATTTGACCGTAATTTCCTATTAATATATACATGTAAAAATCTATAATAAATTGACATTTGAATAATACATATTACAATGAAGCACATTATATAATTTTTTTGGGACAAAATATTATTAATTTTGAGTAATAAGTGGTCAAAGTTTAACAAGTTTGACTCAAAAAGTGTGACTGTGACTTTAATTATGAAACAGAGGGAGTATGTATATATATATATATATATATATATTGTTAACAGAAAAAACATAAACATAAAGTCCACAAAAAGCTAATATTTACAAATACAATTTTTAGTGGGAATCACAAATCAAACAAAATAAATACTTTACTATGACCATTAAAAGTTAGTTAAATATTTCTATGCGCATCTGCTAAACTACAGCTAAAATTACTTTATGTATTTACCAAATTACTTGAATTATCAATACAGAATAAGCAATATTAAGTTATTAACCCAAATAATGTATATTCATTGATCTTTAATCATAAATCCAAGTGCCTAACAACAGTAACTTTTATCTGTTATAGTTTATTAGTTTTATTTACGGAGTAATAGTTACCTCAAGTAGTCAAGTTGTGTAGCAGAGAAGTCTTCAGTGAGTTCTGTCCTAGAGTCCATGACTCCATTTTGAGATTGGAGTCCTGGAGCCGCTGAGCCACACAGCAATTTTAATTTTCAATAACTAAAATAAAAAATCAAAATCTCATATCATTAAAACGTGAGGCTTCTACTCAAATGCTGGGGTCAACTGCCCTTATAGCCGGTTCTGGTTGCCTTAGCACGGAGGAGGGCTGAATTTCTGCAGATTAAATGTGAGCATGTGTCACATCATCCCGTGATGACATAATGTTGATGTCATAGTGAAATCTTCATTGTCAGACGGGAACAGTAATCCCAGGCAGTTCAGCCTTGATATATATAGAGATTGGGGACATGAAAGTTCTGGCCATGGGGTTGGGGTTTGTTTGTAATTGCAAATATTGTTGATCCCAGGGAATGAGGACTGTGGCTCGTAAGAAAGGAAAGAAGAAGAGTGTCGCGGGATCATCATCTCCAACAAACTTGCCTATGCAAACCCCCGATTGTATAAAGGCTAAACGTAAAATTATAAAAAAATCACTGGTTAAGAAGTCTGCACAAAGAAAAGAAGTGGAGACCAGTTCTCAAGTCAAAGACAGACAGGCGGAGGTGGGGAATGGGCTTAATGATAGCAAACGCGTTAGTGGTCAAAGAGCTGAGGACTGTACAACTTCACAGTCCATGGGCAAAAATCTGCATCATGTTGATGAAAAGCCTAAAGAGTTTAATAAAGGCGTCCAAAAGTCCAATGTGAAGAAGAAGAAGAAAGGGCAACTTGTAGATGAAAAACCTGAGTTGAAGCAAGGGAACCAAAAGTCCAATGAGAATGAGAACAACGATGAGCATCGTGTAGACGAAAAACCTAAAGAGTTGAAGAAGGGGGACCAAAAGTCCAATGAGAAGATGAAAAAAAAGGAGGAGGTGGAATGCTCATGGTGGATCAAAGACATAAAGGAGGATGTAGAGAAGGAGGGGATCAAAGATGGCAAAAGGGATAGTGGTGGAAGTCAAAGACCTGTGAAGCATCAAAACGGTCGACGTGAGAACAAGTCTGACCAGCATAGAGATGAAAAGCACAACGAGACTAAAAAAGAGGGCAAAAAGTCCCTTGAGGATGACCCCAATGGAGGAATGATTTTCATGTGTAGCACAAAAACCAAACCGGATTGTTTCCACTATAATGTGATGGGTGTTTCGAGGAACAAAGAAGATGTTGTTATGCATATCAAACCAGGTCTCAAGCTATTCCTTTACGATTTTGACCTCAGGCTATTGTATGGAATATATGAAGCATCATCAGCTGGTGGGATGAAGCTTGAACCAGAAGCCTTTGGTGGAGCATTTCCCGCACAGGTTAGCTTTTGCTTTTCTCTTGTTGAGTTTCTAGTGATTTTTTGTGCTATCAGTCTAATTTTGTTGTTGTTGATTGCACTCAAACAGGTGAGGTTCGTGATAAAGGAGGATTGCCTACCCCTGCCTGAAAACGTTTTTAAAAAAGCAATCAAGGAGAATTATAATGAGAGGACACGCAAGTTCAAGACCGAGTTGTCAGTTTCTCAAGTATGAAATATATTGCCTATGTAGAGAAACTGTATTACATCCTGTTTGGTATGCCCTGAAATGTCTGAATTTGCTGAGAATGTGTCTGAAACTGATAAATATGCTGAAAAATCATAGATACTTACTCCATATATAAAATACCTTTTGAATAAATAAAGCAATTAGATCCAAATTGAAGTTTCATTTTCTTCACTTTCAGTAAGAAAAGTAACTTCTAACTGCTTTTTCCATTATAAGAATATTCTGTCGGTGCAGTGAAATAAGTTATGTGTTCAAAAAAAATTCCAAAAAACTGATCATTTGACCCCTTATTCCTAATAGGTAAAGCAGTTGATGAGGTTGTTTAGGCCAATGCCATCATTGCACCCAACATCGAAATCTTTCGTTCCCGAATCTGCACAACTGTCTCCTCGTAGGAGGCCATCCTATTCTACCCACCACAGCACTCGAAATGACGTGCCGCATGACTCCCCACTTTTTCTTACTGAAAAGGAATACAGAAGCTATGGTCTTCAACATGGTAGACAACCTGTGCTGATCAACACTGTTTCCCATGCTGACCACCGTATGGATCATTACAGATCTGATGAAGGAAGGAGTGAACGTGGTTTCCATGATCCTCCATACTTTCCGGAACATGTTGACCGCAGGTCGGATCAATATCAACCGGAAGAACAAAGGGAGGAGACATCACACAAGGAAATACCCAATTCATACTTCCCAGATGAAAAGGAGTATCGGAATTTCGGGCTCAAGGGCCGTCAGGAACTGGCCACTAATGTGCAGCATCCTTCCATAGGAAGGGATGATTCAACAATGGATCTTGGGGTGCAAGACCATGCCCCCTCATACAGATGCAACCCCTACAATGACAGCACCACATCTCTTGTTAATCGGTACCTATCTTTGCCAAGGAAGTTGTCGGAGCCAATGGAATCATATTCTCTTACAGGAAGAGACTCTTATGCGCCCGAAACTAACTATGGACGGGAGACAGGAGGGAATTCAGGCAGGGAGAGAGAGAATCTAAACTCACCGTACTCTAGCTATGTACAGGGGACTGGGGGTAATCCAGCTAGAGGGGTTATTGGTGAGAGAGATAATCAACCTTCTCCATACTCTAACTATGTGAGGGGGACTGAAAGTAATCCAGGCAGAGGACCGACTGGAGAGAGAGATTATATACATCCTCCATATGCTCCCAATGCACCTGTAAACCTTGGCGAAAGATACCACCACTATATGGGCAGAACTCCTGAGTATCCATCTTCTTCACCAATGCTATTGCGCCATCCCTATGATGGTGGTGGTTCTTCATCTCTGTCACGCTACTGAACCTCCTCAGCCTATGCATCTCTTGAATGTTATATTTTTTTAATTAAATGTCTAACAAGCTGATTATGAACTCCGGGGGTTCATATAAAAGATTTAGTTGCCAGAACTTTGTATTAGGTATATTTCTTCTTGGTGAGAAACAGAAACCCCATTCACATATGCATTGATCTGAAGAAATTACTATTATGAAGCAAAAGAGTGTCTATGAGTTTGCTGTTGGTAAGGCGGCTGAGGGTTAACTGTAAGTCTGTGACAGTAAGTGGCTATATGAGGTCAGCTGTCTTTTATTTTCATCAATCGTGTGTAACTTGTAACCTACCATTATGTTCAATGACACTGTTTTATACCATATATTTATTTATATTTCCCCCCTTTTTATGTGTATTTAGACATTGTGTTACTCTGAATGGTCTGCAAGGTTATGAGTTTTTAATTGACTAATTTGCGCTGCTTAGAAGATTTTATAAACTCGCTTACTGATGAAGTGTTATTATATTATTAAATTGTAGTACATGAAAGGTGCAAAAAGATTTATTTCTTGAGATCTTTAGGTTTTGTGGCTAAAAGGTCAAAGACTTCTACACATCCGGTTGATCAATTCACTCTCCAACCAAAATACTCCAGATAACCTTCGCGAACCGGGTCACGGTTGACTACTACTAAATGTGTCCTTGTAGTAGTAGTCCGGTCACGGGTGCCTTTTGGTAATTTGGTTCGATGCGATATCTGGCCTATGGCTATTTGGATTAGAACCTTATTTTACAATAGGACACATTTAGCAAGAAAATATATGGAGCTATTGTTCTAAAAGACGCTAGGAGCTAGTCATGCGGTGACTAACCACCTAGGTAGTAATTAGGGAGCCTAAATATTTTCCCTTTATTTTTATTTCCTTTCAGTCTTAATTATATTACCAATAATTACCAATAATTTTATACTCCTTATGTTCCGCTAAGAACTTCATACTTTGACTTACACACACATATAGGAAATAAATTTGACTTTACTGTAGAGTACACTGTTTCGACACTGCTTGGCACCGTTTTGTATTGTTTTGATGTAGGATAACTTTCCATTTAGGGAAATGAGAAGATCATTTTGGGACGGCTAAAAAAGGAAAGCAGGAAGATCTTAGCGGGACGGAGGGAGTACTATTTATTTCCTTTCAATGATATTTGTGTTTTTTAGTCTCATGAAATGTTAAAATACATAAAAAAAACTATATATATAAAAATTATTTTTTATAGTAGGAATATAAAACAGAAAAAATACAATCTAAAAAGTATTCTATATAGCAATATAATACTTCTTGATCAAATGATATTTTAAGATAAAATAGAACAAAATTAGTTGGATCAGGAAAAAGTTAGGTTGCACCGCCTAACCACCGCCTAGGTGCTCAGACTAAATGATTCTACCGATTACGACGAAATAGAGGGTGCTCGGCCACTGCCCAGCAACTAGGTGGTGTCTAGGCCTATTTTTAGAACAATGTATGGAGCTAAATCAAGAAAATATTATATCAAATATTGAGGATGACATATTTTAAGCCACCTTTTGATGTTATCCCCTTATTAAATCATATTTTATCTTGTTGTCAGAATTTAAAACGGCCTTATTGTCCATATTTTCATCAAATCATCGAAAGTGTTCTTCATCGTTTACAATTTAACAATAGAGTTTTTGCCACTTTGGGTCCCCGACTTTTTTGTCAGTGACACTTTTGGTACTTGATTTTCAATTTTTCTATTTTTTGTCCTTAATCGTTTTGCGAGAGACACTTTTAGTTATCAACTTTAATGTTTCTGACATTTAGTCTCATGAGTATTATCAAATTGACACTTTTAGGCCTTCCACTATGATTTTGACACCTTAAGTGGGAGACTAAAAATGTTACAATTATAATAGTTGAATGATCAAAAGAATCACGTTTATGAAAGTCGAAGAACTAAGTATGAAAATCTCTGTAACACCGCCCCCAAGTATTTGTACTTTATCAAGTCATGTATTGGATCATGAGAAATAAATAAACGCATCTTTACGCGATTGTAAAATTTTATCATTCCTTTATATGAATAGAAAAATTCACACGGGGCCCACACCGGAAGTGGGGGCCGCCCGACATTATCGGGACCACATATTATATTCATCTGGGTCTAGATAATATTTATATATGATGGTGGATATCCTTTTTGGACCATATAAATTATGTGAGTAACCAATAGGGCATAAAAAGCTCATTTATCAGTACCGACGCACTAACGGATAAAAAGTCATAATAAATTATGGAGACCGCCAAATTAAAAGTTAGGAAATATACATTCATTCTTATAGTCAATAATAATTGGAAGAATGATAGATATTTCATTTTACCCGACAAAATGGAATATAGTTAAAACAGTCCGGAAAATACAATTTTCGGGACCAAGTGTACACTTGGGGACACAAAGGGATGACCACCCATCAAAGTGGGGGCCACCCCACGTTTTTAATCGTGCAAATGGGGAGGGAGAGCTGTATGAGAGGCTTGAAATGGGAGCTGCATGATGAGGAGACCAATTAGATCACCTAAGGGTCCCTCCTCACATTCTTTTGCTCTATTAAGACAAAAGTGAGGGGTTTCCTCCACCCACCTCCAATCAGCTCGGCCCATACATCATCCAAGGAGTAGGAAACCCTGCAAGTACTCCATTTTCATCAGCCATTCACGCACAAAGCAAGGAGGAAGAAGAAGGGAGGAAAAGAGGGGAGAAAAAGAGGAGTTTAGGTGCGAAAACTTGTGGTTAATAAGGTAATGACTTCATTAATCCCATTTCTCCTCTTTAATCATATTTCATACTCCTAGGATAGTTCTACACATTTAAAAGTGTAGAATGGGAGTTGAAGGGTTGGGTTATACCCAAAACAAACTTTGAGAGCAAAGTTGACGGGTTCACCGGAAAATAACCTTCTAGAGGTTATTTATATTGATAGGGGTTTTATGATGATAAAACCTTGTTATTAACTTGTATAAGGTATTTCAAGAACTTCCACGAAGGTGAAAGGGTCACCGGAGTTGTCGCCGGAGTTAGTTGAAGTTCACCGGAGTTTCACCGGAGCTCAATAAGAGAGGCTAGAACTTCATAAGCTTCTTTTAAGGTGAGAAGACGGCTATATGCTTTATAACTTTTGCATAAGGCATGAGATTACCTAAAGTAATCAAGGGTATGTTTTATGGAATGATTAAAGATAATCAAGTATTTGGTTATGCCATGATTATATACAAAACGTAGTTGTAAAGCATGTTATGTATGTTTGATGATTAAAATGTGATAACTTATTATGTACGATGTTCCAGGGATCCAAAATGGTATTTTTGGATCAAGGACGATAAGAAGTACATGTGTATAAAATTTCACGTTAATCGGACTTTGTTTGGGCGGTCAAACGGGCGTTGACCGCCGAGACAATGGTGATACCCGACCGGGTATGGGTAAATACCCGACCGGGTATTGATTAGAAATAACTCCAGAAGCTACTGCCACACTAAACCCGACCGGGTATGGGTATAGACCCGACCAGGTCTCAAGTAAAGTTGGCTCTAGGGGCTACTGCCCCGCCCTACCCGACCGGGTAAGGTTGGATACCCGACCGGGTATTGGGTTATGCTCAAAACAGACAGTTTTGGGCAGGTTAACGTGGGCCGTTCAAGTGGGACCCGCCCACGTTGGTTACTAGGGATTATTATATGACTATATGACTAGGTATTGTCCATAGTTAAGTGAATACAAGGTTAGCCACATCCAGGTTAGGGTTGGTAAGGAATAAGGTTGAGGTTGAGTACCCTCAGGACGGTAAATGATCCTAAAACTCGGTTGAGGTTGAGTATCCTCAGGACGGTAAACGATCCTAAAACTCGGTTGAGGTTGAGTATCCTCACGACGGTAAATGATCCTAAAACTCGGTTGAGGTTGAGTATCCGCGGGACGGTAAATGATCCTAAAACTCGATTGGGGTTGAGTATCCCCGGGAGGGTAAACACTCCTGAAACTCGGTAGGATGTTGTGAAGGTAGAATGTAGCTTGTGAGCTGGAAATTAGGGAATGAATGGGAAAGGTTGGGTAATTACCTTATCCCTAAAACACTCTTTTTAAATGGAAATGACCTACGGGTCAAGTATATACAGTAAGTATCATCTTGTGGGTGGGATAACAATGGTTGTACCTATATTTATATTTATCACCCTATTTTTGGGTCTCGTGTCTGAAACATTAGTTATTCCTCATATAGCCTGCTTGTCACTAGTACTTCTGTGGAGTACTGACCCCTTCGGGGGCCCTCACATTTTTTCAGGTTAAGGCTAGAGTCCTACTACCTGCACCTTTGCCTAGGGTGATTGATCGAGGAGGAAGACGTGGTTCGTGCTTCCATTCTTCTTCAAAATTGATAAACTGCTCATGGATATTTTAACAATGTTTTCTATTAAAACATTTGGGGGCCTGCGTGCCCGTATTTGCCACGTGTGGCTAAGTATCAAACATATCTTATTTTCCGCATTTGTTTGACTAATATATATTGATGTTGATTGTATGGGTTTACTAATCGGTTTGGCAATAGAACTTAACGGACGCCTTGTATGATTCAATAAGAATGAACTACGTTGTTCTTATTGGGTTGTACGACGGTTGTCTACGTGGCACGGATGCGGTCCGGGGCGTGACAATCTCAAAGACAGATACCAAAAGTGCTTTCGCACAATAATCGAAGGACTAAAGTGAAAAATATGAAAGTTGAATATAAAAAATGTTAGTGACATAATAGTCGGACGAATAAAAATGTGAAAAAACTCTAACAATATACTCCGTATAATTTATCAGTAGGTCTCGTTAACGATTAAAAAGTGAATATTTCATGAAATTGTATAAAGGAAAAATCGCATTTTAGTCCCTCAAATAGTATCCATGTTTAATTGTAATCCCCATATTTTCAAGTTTGTAAATGCCACCCCTCAATTGTAAATCACTGTAAATACGGTCCCGTGAGGAGTGAAATGTACAACGTGGGCGATTGTTCCCCTGAAAGCAGGCAAACCGTAGCAATCCACCCAAAATTTACAAAATGCCTTTATTTTTAATGTAAAAAATTCTACTCCCTCTGTCCCTAAATTTACTTCCAACTTTCCCTTTTCGTCCGTCCCAAAAAGAACTTCACTTTCCCTTTTTGGCAAAGAATTTGTGGTTCACAGCATTTCTCTCTCCTCTGCACAACTCTCCACCACACAATTCCCACTTTCTTAATCACCGTGCCACTTTAATTTGGAAGAACAATCAGGGACGGAGGGAGTATGTATTTTTTCCCCAAAACTATTCTTTGTACCGGCTAATCCGGCCCAGTGCCTTGGCTCCGCCCCTGTTTGCAAGATGATTCACTTAGAGTCAGAAGGTGATATTGTTTTATATATTCTGCCAG